GGCTGGGCTGCTGCCCCTTATCCGGGAGCTGAAGACCCGCTGACCCCATCTCTCCCGCCCTGGCAGCCGTTCCCGGGGCTCTGTCCAAGTCCGGGGGAGCTGGGAGGCACTGCCCCGCCTGCCGCTCTGGGCCCGTCTGGGCCTCGCACAGGGGCTCCGGGAGTGTCCAGTGTCCTCGCCACCCAACAGGGTCCCCAGTGTCCTGTGATTCACAGGTGGGAACCCCGGAACAGCGCACATGACCCCCGTGTGGGCAGGGACTAGGAAGGCGGGGCCTCACTGAGGTGCAGCTGGTGGAGGTGGTGACGCCCTGCCCGCCCCCTCCTTGCTGTGCTCTGAGTTCCGGCCACAGACACGGTCCCACCCGCTTGTTCGGCCTCTAGGCAATGGCCAGCAGTGACGCCGTGCCCTCACGGGGCCTGGGGTTGGCACATGTGTCTGCAGGCCCCAGGCCCCTGCCTGGCACACTGTCCCTTTGGGGGACTCCAGGGCCTCCTCTCCTTGTCCGGTCGGCACATCCTTGGGGAGCCGTCCGATGTTAGTGGACAGGTCTGCTCCCAGCCGCCCAGGGGCCAGCTCCTCGGGCTGTGGCATCCCACCTGGGAGCCCGGCCTGGATTCGGGCCCTTCGGCTGGCAGGCCCCCTGGGTCCTCACTGAGCCTTTGCCAGGATGTGTTGTGTTGCTGTGTGTGCCCAGCACACTGGGTGCCCCTCAGACACGGCCCTGAGGCCGCCAAAGGCTGCTCCCAGCTCTGGCTGCCTGTGTGATGCTGGGCGTCTGGGCAGAGACCCTGAGGGGAGGTACCCGGGTGTGACCCTGTGCCCTCCGCCTGGTGGCCCCCTCGCTGTCCCTCGGGGTGTGCGTTGCCCTGGGGCCTGCTCCTGCATGCCCGCCTCCCAGGGTCTCGGGCCATCTGCTTCCGGTGGCGCTCGATGATGAGTGTGTCCACAGGATCCTGTTGTCATAGCTAATTCCTGCCGGAGCACCAGCCCGCCCACCTGTCACCGAGTCGGGGACGTGACGTCTCCTTTACGTCAGCCCTTCAGAGCCCCACGCGCCAGCACCGGCCTGCGGGTCCCTGTCGCTCTGGACGCGTTAGCGTCTCCCCTCATCGCCCGGTGGCACCTCTGTCACTGCAGACAGGTGGCCAGGAGCACGATGACTCCCTGGAGCGCCCAGCAATGTCCCTCGTGGGAGCAGCAGATGTAAATTTGAGCAGAAAGTGAGCCGTGTGTTTGGAGACCCATTGAGAGACCGACTGCTCCGGCCTGGGGTGGGCTTTCCTCCCAGGCGGCCAGGTGCCTCTGCTTCCTTCAGACGGATCCCTGCTGGCAAGACGTGTGGGCCATTTCAGGAAGCGTCTGATCACCCAGCAGTGGCCTGGGGCACTCCCGCCCGGCTGCCCCCTTCAGTGCAGCCTGGTGGCAGAGGCCGGCCTGGGTGCTGGGGTGCGGGTTTCCCCACTGCT